TGGATTAGTGTGAAGGATGCTTAGATACAAGCACAGGCCACAATCAACATGTCTCATTCCCAGATGCCAAAGAAACTCACCTGCCTCCACCTCCTCCCCCACCAGTTACTCACCGTAAATGCTTGTTTAAACCCCCTTTGGAGGAGGTGACTCTGACACTGTCAAACCATCTCAGGTTAGGATCAGCAGATGAGTAACCTGTGTATGAACCTTAAAGGCATGTTGAGAGGCATTTGTGGAAGCAGGGAAAGAAAGAGAGAGTTTACGTGGAGCCATTTAAGTGTCAGAGACAGAGTAACTGTTCTGTCAAGTCTTAGCCTAATATCGCGAGACCTGTAGAAGAAGGGTTCACGTCAGAAGCGAGTGGAAAACAGCAGAATCGTCAGTGTGACCTAGCCTTGAGATAACGATGTTCGAGAAGAGAAAGTGAGAAAATACTGGAATAGATAGCAAATAGCCTAAATAAAATGCAGATGTTTTTAATTAATTCACATCACAAAGAGGTATAAATGCTTGTGTGATTTTGCTTGTACTTTGGAGAAACTGAGGCAAAGATGCTCTCTGTCAGCTGTGTTCTTCCCTTGCAATTGCATGTGCTGAATAAAGCTGTCTCTAATTTTGTTGCTTCCAACCTGAGAGTGGAGTTCGTTTCTTCCACACATTGCAGTTGTAACCAGGACAATGCACTTGTGTGTGGGCATCAAAGAGAACCTAGAACGGGTTAACAGGCTAGGCTCATTCATAGGTATTGATAAGAAATCAAGGAAGATACTGTGTGTATGTGTGTCTATATCAGGGGTTCTCACAACAAAATTTTTGGTGGCCTCAAAGTGCGGCCACCAACTCTTGCTGGTGGCCGCACTGACACTTTTTCCTAAAATATGTAATTAACTTTAGGAAAAACAAATAAATATGCACATGTACACATCCAAATCGTAATTTATGTAGGGTGGTTTTTTTTTTTTTGCAGACTCAGTAATAAAATTAATGCTTTGAAAAGTGGTATTTGTTAATACCACTTTTCACAGTACACTTAGTAGTTACATGTGAAAAATGTTAAGCGATATTAACAAACATACACATCACTTTTCACAGCCTCCCAACTAGCTAGTGAGTCTGCTGTGAAAAAGTGATACTTGCATGTTTGTAAATATCACTTTTCTCAGGAAGCCTCAGGACAAATTAAGCCCTGGATGGGGAGGTTGGAGGGGGAGGCAGCAGGCGCCCAGGGTAATGGTGGGATGGATATGGGGACAAGGGAGGCAGTGGGGGGCCCGGAGTGATGTGAGAGATGAATGCGGGGCCAGGAAGACAGCTGAGTCCAGATGCAATTTGGGGGAGGGTGAACGCAGGGTCAGAAATGCAGCAGGAGCCAGGAGTGATGGGGGTGGGTGGTGAGCCCTGCCGCAGCGTGGCCAGAGCCAGAAGTCGGCACCCTCTGCCACGTGGCCAGGGTTCAGTGCCTGCGGCCAGGGCTGGATTAACTTTTTGTGGGCCCGGCGCCAAACATATTTGTGGCCCCCCATTGGAGAAATAGGGCATGTGATGGGGGGCAATCCACAGAGCGAGGGGCCGGTTTGGGGCAATGAGGCGTAGTGCAGCGGGAGTGGCTCCACTCAGCCCAGACAAGGGCACTATTTACAGACCAAAAACTGTTAGACGCACAATGCCCCCCCCCAGCCCTGTCCCCCTGCCCAGTGCCCTGCCCTTATGCCAGTGCCCCCTCACCCAGAGACTTCCCCCACAGATCCCTATGCCCAGTACCCACTGCCTAGAGACCCCTCCCGCTGAACTCCCACCACAACTACACAGCACCCTGCACACCATACCCCCTGCCCATCTCCCCCACTCACAGATCCCCAACTGTCCAGCACCCCCTTCACAGTCCCACCATCACAGCTGTACAGTGCCCCATATTCCTGAGAGAATTCTGCGTCAAATTCTGTGC